AAGGAGAGACAAGAGGGAATTCTTAAATGAACAGTGCAAAGAAATAGAGGAAAAGAATTGAAAGGGAAAAACCAGAGATCTCTTCAAGAAAACTGGAGATATTAAAGGAACCTTTTTGTGCAAAGATGGACATTATAAAGGACAAAAAAAGGTAGGGACCTAACAGAAACAGAAGACATCAAGAAGAGGTGGCAAGAATACACAGAAGTATACCAGAAAGATCTGGATGTCCCGGACAACCCAGATAGTGTGGTTGCTCACCTTGAGCCAGACACCCTGAGGAGTAAAGTCACGTGGGCCTTAGAAAGCATGGCTAATAACAAGGCCAGTGATGGCATTCCAGTTGAACTATTTAAAATCTTAAAAGATGATGCTGTTAAGGTGCTACACTCAATATGCCAGCAAGTTTGGAAAACTCAGCAGTGGCCAGAGGATTGGAAAAGATCGGTCTACATTCCAATCCCAAAGAAGGGCAGTGCCAAAGAATGCTCCAACTTCCGTACAATTGCACTCATTTCACACACTAGCAATATTATACTCAAAATCCTACAAGATAGGCTTCAGCAGTACGTGGACCGAGAACTCTCAGAAGTACAAGCTGGATTTTGAAGGGGCACAGGAACTAGAGACCAAATTGCTAACATGCACTGGATTATGGAGAAAGCCAGAGAATTTCAGAAAAACATTTACTTTTCCTTCATTGACAACGCAAAAGCCTTTGACTGTGTGGACCACAACAAACTATGGCAAGTCCTTAAAGAAATGTGAGTGCCTGTACACCTTATATATCTCCTGAGAAATCTGTATGTGGGACAGGAAGTAACAGTTAGAACTGGATATGGAACAACGGATTGGTTCAAAATTGGGAAAGGAGTACGGCAAGGCTGTATATTGTCTCCCTGCTTATTTAACTTATATGCAGAATACGTCATGCAAAAGGGAGGACTGGAGGAATCCCAAGACAGAATTAAGATTGCCGGAAGAAATATCAACAACCTCAGATATGCAGATGATATCATTCTGATGGCAGAAAGTGAGGAGGAATTAAAGAACCTCTTAATGAGGGTGAAAGAGGAGAGTGCAAAAAATGGTCTGAAGCTCAGGATCAAAAAAACTAAAATCATGGCCACTGACCCCATCAGTGGCCACGATCTTCAACTAAGATCATGGCCACTGATCCCATCAGTGGCCACAATCTTCCCCAAACAGAAGGGGAAGATATGGAGTCAGTGACAGATTTTACTTTCTTGGGCTCCATACAGATGGTGACAGCTACCCCAAAATACAAGAGTCCTGCTTCTTGGGAGGAAAGCGACGAGAAACCTAGACAGCATCTTAAAAATATATATTGAAAGTATATTATATGTATATTGTATTGTATTAGGTTACCTATATTTAGTTCTATTACATTCTTCCACCATGATAAATTGTTAGCTGCACTCTACATACAACCCCAGAAAATCAGACTCATAGGCCTGTGCTCCTGGTTAAGTTATGAACTGGCATTGAAATGAAAATGTGGCATCAGTTTTTAAGCCCCACATGCAATGCCATACTCCTAGAGATGCTTAAGAAGTACCTTTTCAGGAGCTGCCCTTCAAACTGTGTCCAAAAAACCCAGAAAACGTGCCCTCTTGAGCCAACTGGTGGAAACATTTGTCATGCCCTGCTCAGCACAAACAGTTCAATTTGTCCAAACTCAATCTCCCATTTGTCTAAAAGAGAAGGGTCACTGCAAAACAGAATTTGTTGTTTCCTCAACACAAACAGGCAGAAATAATTTTCTGAGTATCTGAAACCTTTAAATTACAGGATTCTCCTTCCGTTCTTCCCTGTACAGCACTGCATGCTAAATCCAGCAACGCTATAGCACACAATTTCTGTTTCAGATCTGAAGTAGATGACACATTTAAATAAAACATGTATAGAATTATGAATTATTAATTTTAATAAAATTCAAAACATAGAAATTGACGGTACAATTACCTAGCTTTGTTAAGAGCCGCCTACCATCAATATAAGCCAATTTAACTGTGAGATCAAAACACCCTATTTTGCTAGCTACTTGAAACTACAAATAACAAAAAAGGTGAGGGCAGTTCACAGTACATGGTGGAGGGCTGCTTTTGGCTTGCTGGATCACAGTAGCTTATGCTATTTTTTAAAAAAATTCAATATCAACCATGCGATTGATTGATCTACTAAACAGGCAAGTGATTAAGGAATTCATTTCTCTTAATCAGCTGATATTCCTCCTAGCACATGGCATTATTTGTAGGCTGCTGCTGGATTATCTGGATGTCAGCCAAAGCAAACTCGCTTTGAATTTCTGTTAACGTCCATGGGACACCTTCCAATAAGGATATGCCACATACTCCAAACTTGGAAACCATACTTCTACAGACCTTAGCATGCAGAATCTCCCAGTTAACATGACCCCTGGCTATGCTTGCTAGGAATTCCGGAAGCACACTCTACAACAGAAACTCCTCCAGTCTCTTTCTGCCACACCCTATTTGTATTCTGCTTTCACAGGCTGAATGGATTTGTTAGAGGATAAGACCTTCTGCTTTAAATGGAACACATTTCCAAAGAAGTTGGACATGTTGAGAAAGCAACACTTACCTCAAAATGCTTTCAGATTAAATTAAGTACCAGCATTTAGCATGACTCTCGGAAACTTAAGCAGCTGCCTTATACCGAATCAGGCCACCAGTTCCACTAGTCCCGTTACTCTGGCTGGCAAGATATCTGTAGGGTTTCACTCTGGACTATTTCCTAGTCCCACCTGGAGATATTTGGTATTACCTGATGGCTTTCTATCCAATAACTAACCAAACCTGAACCTGCTCAGCTTCCAGGACTAGACAAGGGTAAGCATGTTCAGGATGGCACGGTGGTACTGACTTCAAAGGAACTCATTTCTCTAAACACATGTCTACGATCTGAGTATCAGTGTGTTTGAGACTTAATCTAAAGGTACATAAGGAAAAACGATTTCTTCAGACTACTAGATTGTCAGAGTGGCACAATGCTGTTTGGCTGTCACACTGCAATTATTCCATGTTTGTATAACCATCTGGCTATATACATTGCAGCTCTTCATTTACATAGCTGAAACATAACAACTAGTTTGCACCATTTGTCCAGGGATGGGGAACCAGTGCCTTTGATTCAAATGGAATTTACACAGCACTTAAATTTCAGGCTTTTTCTGCCAGGCACATTTTATTCTCTCTTCCCACTGCAGTTTCAGAGGAGCTCCCAGAATATTGTAGCCTTTTTTCCCACTGCTTAGCTGCTCCCACTCCCCGGTACCCTTATTTCTATGAGCTGTCTCCTCTCCATCTGATCACTGGCAAACAACAGGCAGTACAGTGAAAAAAAGAGGGGCGGGACTACTTATGAACCTCCCTCTTTCCCACTGTTAACCTGTTCCATTGTTCCTCTCTTGCTGTAGCTCCACCTATCACCTCCATATTCTGATCACTAGAGGTGGCTCAAATCTTAAAGCCCTGTTGATGGGCTTTCCACATACATCAACATGGCTGGTCACTGAGAGAAACTTGATAGTGAGCAGATGGACCTTAGGTTTGATCCACACAACTCTTCTGTTCTTTACAGAAATAGTATGCAAGCTCAGAGACCTAATTGCACCTTCAAAGTGCTGTACACTATTACTTCTGTTCTTTACAGAAATAGTATGCAAGCATGGAGCTCAGAGAGCTAATTGCACCTTCAGAGTGCTGTATTATCTTCACTGTTAGAATCCATGGACAACCTCAAAAAGATTTGGAGTGCTTTCTGGCAGTTGTAACAGCTTTTTACAGGTGCAGTTTTTAGTGGAATGAGTTGGAAAGAAACCTGATATGCCTGTCATGGAACTACAACAGAAAAAGAAAGTGCTTAAGAGACTGCACGTTAGAATAAATAAATTAAAAAAAACACTGATATTTCCAGAATTTGGGAAGAAAAAAAGCCAAATGTGACAATAAGCGTGAACTGCCTTTCCCATTTCAGTTCATGGAATATAACAGCAATCTATACAACAAATTGTTTTTTTTTTCAAAGCATTCACTCCCCTGCACCTGGCAAGTCTTTATACTCTTTTTCCCTCTTTGCTTTGGTGCCTTTGATTTTTGTTCCATTACTTATATTGTTAACATCAGTTTTCAATTGTTTGGAAATATGGGGAAGAGGGAGGAACAAAAACAGGCATGCTCAAGAAAAATAAAAGTCATCCTTTGTTGACACATTAGAAAGTTGCTGGCAACTGACTCACAACCTGCCAGGTTATGTAGAAAAAAAAAACAGGCACACACAGCCAGTTTCCCCAAGATAAATTCCAGGCAACTGTTAAAGGGGGTGGGGTACAGGAAGGCAAATATTAGTATCAGAAGGTTTGGCAGCACTGCTCCTCCTGTTAAGCGACAAACAGGGTCTGTTTCTCCTGTGTCCTTACCATTACCTTTGGTTAAAGCCAAAGTAGGTGCTGCTGCTTCTGCAACTGATGATAGAGCTTAAGAGGACTTCAGAACCAGCCCACCTGCTCAGGCTAGACAGAAAGACAATAAAAAAACGGATTCATCATAAAGACTTCAAAAGAACTATTGTGGCAGGAGACTAGTAGGGCACAATAAGACTGGGTCATCCTATAAAGAGCCGGGGACCCTCCTTTGGACTACATGAGGAGTCACTGAAGACAATGACGTTTTTTATTAGACATCCACCCTTAGTCCAATTCCTTCCTGAGATTTAGAATTTCCCCCTTCATCCCTATCCAAGGGAGAACACTCTATTTCCAAGTGCCTCGGGCTCCAAAAGAATCCCAGATCACTTTGAGGTGGAGCATTATTAGCTAACACAGCCCGCCGGCAGCGGTGCAAGGTGTTGCAAGGTGTTTTCCGTGTTGGCCCCCTGGCCCGGGCTGTTGCCCTTCCCGGGTCCGGAACGCCTGCCCTCCGGATCCTCCCCTTTCCCTTTCCCGCCCTCGGCGGTACCTCTTTGCAGACGTGTAGATTCTCCCCTTGAGCCGCAGCACCTGCCCAGAACAGAAGCAAGAAAGCGAGCCGAAGGGGGGGCCGACGCCTCCGCCCGACTCTGCCAGGGAGGCACGAGCACCCGGCGGTCGCCGCAGGAGAATGGAGCCTGGCAGCCCCAGCCATGGTGGCAGGGGAAGGCGGCGGCGGTGGCGCCGCTCGGCGGATCTAGGAGGCAGCGGACGACGTCTCAGGTGCCGTGGCGGCGACAGCAGCAGCGTTTGGAGCCGGAGAGGGATGCAGGACGCTCGCCTCGCTCACCCGCCCCGCCCCCTGTCAGGCTCGCACCGCCCACACCTCGCTGCCTAGCAACCGCAGCTGCCTTCCTCCTGCCGGCCTGGGAGCGCACCTGAGACTTGAAAGATGCGCCCGAGGTGCCCGCGCGTGCCGGAAGCGGGCAAGCCGTTTGGTCTTGCGCGCGTGCGCGCCTCGGGGAGGGGGCCCCCTTCCACAGCGCTCGAAGCGCACATGGCGCCGCAGGAGAGCGCGCGCGGCCTCTTTATGGCTCACTTGGGCCGCTCCACAGTTGTAATCTTCATCCTTTATTTATTTATCTATTCCATCTATACCCCGCCTATCTGGTCATTTTGACCTCGTCGCAAACCCGTAAATCTGAAAAGCGTGCGTTTTCCCGCCCTAGAATAAATGAGCTGAGGGTTGCAATCGTGTAACATTTCGCCATAAATGGCAGTTGGGGAGATGCAAATGTCATTCACACGTTCTTGGAGTAGGTAGAAGAACGCAATACGTATAATGGCCAAACATTTAGTAGGATTGGTCTGCACGTTGACCTTTGTGGAGAACATTCTTTTAAGTAATATAAACGGGATTTTTGGGTTCCCCCGAAATTATTCATTTGGGTGTCTTCGAGGTGTAGCTTATTCTGTTTTTTGACCGATATAACTGGTACCGCTGTGTTTGTAGTGCCGAACTAGCACGATTTAATTTTATACATACAAACAAGCTATTGATCGCCTTTTTCCTTGTAAAGCACTCAAAGGGCTTCCAACAGACGCGATATAATTAGACAAATTACCCTCGTATTCTACAAATGTAAACTTTGAAGGAGTACAATCTAAACTCATCGGTGAAAAATGAGTTGTAACCAGTAAACTGGACATTGAAATATTTGCTAGTTTTTAAAAAGTCTCTCCCCCCATTTCTGAAAGTGAAACCCTCCCATACCACAGGACTGAGATATTGCGAGCCCTGCGTCTTGTGTGTTCACACCGATGAGCAATACTTATGTCACTGTAAAGAGCAGGCTTTTTGTTTAGCTGTTTATGCTCCTGCAGGTCTAGAGCGGGCACGTTGTATGGATTCAGGTGTATGTTCGCACCAAGACCTCCCTGATGTCTGTAACCTGTCCCCCACCCCCAATACTGTAAAAGACCCTTACGCAACAGAGCTGGTTTAGAAGGTTTTGAAATAAACCGGGGCGGACACCATTCGTTTAACACTATCTAAAATGCTGGAGTCGTTCGAACCAGTAAGACCGGCCTAAAATTGCCTAATTGCACCCATTATTTTGCCCCCCCCCCAAAAAAAAACTGTGGCATGAAGCTTGGGTGCGTTAGGATTCTTCTTTGGCTAACAAGACAACAAAGTTACAGTAATTTCTAAAGCGGTAATATATGAAGGGAAGTATGTTCGTGGGTTTATTTTAAATCCGGGTTTCCTCTCGAGTTTCTTCACGAAGCCCAAATCTATACCTTGGTTTTTGAATGCGTTTTAGATAGTGGCGATGACTTCGGAGTCTATTTTAAACGTGTCTTTCAAAAGGGGGGATTAATGAATATTGAACAATAACTAAAATGTTTTATACTTAAGCTCAGTATATTTAGCGCACGTTAATTTCCCGCTCACTGAGATAAACGACCTAATTTCAATAACATAAGAGACCACCACCAACATTTTTTTCAGACCCCCCGTCTCCCAGCCGCCAGCATCTCCCAAAGCCTTTTGCCAAATTCTAAGGTTTTGCTTCCTGGTTGGATTTTCCACTTCCAAACATCAGAGGGCGCTTTAGATTATGTGCTGAGAGCTCTAGAAGCTAAAGATGGCCGTCGCCTAGCAACGGTTGCCGGATCCTAAACAAATCTAACACGCACCGAGAGAACCCGCGGTCTCTTTTGGCTGCTCCCGCAGCGGGCGCCACGCGAAGATTTCCCAGGCAAGCCCTGGAGGATGCCACCCACTAAGGACTCCTTCCCACTCCCCTACTACGAAAAGGAAGCCCCTTCCACTGACAAGCATGAGAGTTCCCGGGTAATTGTTAAATCACCTTCCCAGATTGTTTTTTTAAATTATTAAAAACAGTTAATTGCACAATTTTTTATTTTTTTATGCAAGTACAGTATTATCATTTAATTTGGAATGCTCACATTGCCCTATCCTGTAGTATTGTTTTGCAATTTGTCTTCAATGTTCTATGGGTAGGTTATTTTTACAAATGACACAGCAACACTTTTAAAACTTGTAAAACTATAATTTGATTCTTTTTTGAAATGTATTAAGTTTAAGATGACTGGAGGGAGAAGCAAAGAAGATTGTTGTGAGCTCTTTCCTTTATTTTCACAATAGTGAAAGAAGGAAAGGGAGGAGAGGAAACTCACTAAGCAGTTTTAAAGTGGATTAAAACTGAATGTTATGAACATATTTAATGTAAGCTATCTTCTTGAAAATGATGGATTAGTAACCACAATAACAGATGCTCAAGCACAATGTACACTACACATTTAAAAATGGCCATAAAGTTGAACAGGATGCAAAGTATGCCAGTGTTAATAATTAAGTAGGATCAAGGAAATTATTAGAGGCAAAAGGATTGCTTCAGCTAATGGAGTGGGGAGAAAGACAGTTTAAGAAAATTCAGTAGGAAAAATGGAACACAAACTTTGGCAAAAGAAATATAAGCAGATAAGGAATGCAAAATAAGAATTCTATTAGCATCTTCTAAAACATTAAGACCAACAATAAAAACCCTTGTAGTACATCAGAAGCAGAAAATTGGTTAGGGAGGCAGTTAGATCACAGAAGAACTAAGGGGTTGTAAAGGAAGATGAAGAAATTGCAAAGAAACAAAGCACAAGCACAAGGAACAAAACTTCCCGAAGGACTGAGAACTGCATGAAATAATTTGGGACAGGCAAAGTATTTCACACCAGAGCACAGACAGAGTTCTGAATCCTGTCCTCTGAAGATCCCCGCCACAGAGAGTAGCAAAACATTAGGAAGAAAACCCTCAAGAACATGGCCAGATAGCCCGAAAAACCTACAACAACCATGGGATCCCGGCTTTGAAAGACTTCGAGAATACAAACAAAAAGAAATCTTAGTTTCTTTCTCTCCTCTACAGAAGATGTGGAGAACTAGCCATCCCAGGACTTTTTTTAGGAGGGGTCTCAGGAACAGAGTAAGATAACAGTGACAGATTAGGTTTTATGCTCTACTGACATATTAAAAATTAGTAAATCATTGGTTCTGAATGCATGTGACCTTAAGTCAAACATGAAATGTTTTCTCTTCCAAATAAAACTATTATTATTATTTATTTAACTTATATACTGTCCACACTACCCAAAGGTCTCTGGGCAGCTTACAACAACGAAAATACAATTGAAAAGATAAAATAATAAAAATACAATTAAAATATATACTCTAAAAATTGCCATCAGGACCCACAGTTGATATCATTTCAATTAAAAGCCTTCTGAAACAGGAAGGTTTTGACCTGGCGCCGAAATGTCATCAGCGTCGGTGCCAGACAAATCTCAATTGGGATGGCGTTCCATAGTCTGGGGCAGCTGCCAAAAAGGCCCTTTGTCTACAAGCCATCCCTCTTACCTCCTTGAGGGACGGCTCTTTCAAAAGGGCCCCCTGGCTAGATCTTAACTGCTGGGTAGGTTCATATGAAATCTGTAACTTATTCCAAAGACTAACCTAATACCAGAGGACTGGGAAGAAGCCAATGTAATAATTTTTTTAAAAAAGGAAACTGGGGAGTGGGAGTAAGAACTAAAAAACTACAAATCTATTAACTTCTTACATGTTCTAGATCAACAGCTGAAAACATTATTAAAATAAAATAATCAAGCACACAGAACAAAACTTCCTGAAGGTCTGAGAACCTCATGAAGTAACTTGGGACAGGCAAAGTATTTCACACAAACTATGCACCCTATACTTTTAACATTTTAATTAATTTAGGGACTAATGACAGCTTCCTTCTCTGTGCAATACATGTGTAGCCTCAGACATGCATAGAATATCCTCTTAAACACTTCTCTTTTTTTGGTATGAACAGCAACAGATCAGTACTATGTGACAGTGCATCTGCTCCACTGCAGTCTAGTTTTGTGCCAGTGGATCAGAATACCACAAAGCGAGAACACAAGAATGAAAGTGCTTGTAATAATTCTTGTATGTTGTCTGGAAGTACATGTCAACTGTCTTGAATGTGAGCTAAGGAAAGTAACTACTTCATCTGAGCTAAAAAATGGTCAAAAGAGGAATACAGTATGCATGTTCTTTACCATGTCACTATTCTATGGGCACCAGTCATACAAATAGCACTACATAGTCCAGCTCCCATGTACTCGTACCTTACAGTCCAAGAAAGGTACACTTTTTCAGGCTAAAGACATTTCCAGATACTACTTCCAAGTTCATATGCTTCTTATTGGTACAGAAAACGCCCTACCCTGTGCAACAGCAGGACCCCTGGAATCGTCTGCATGCAACACCTACCTTAGCAAGCATCCGAAGAGAGGTCTGGTACTCAGAACCTGAGGTAAAAATGCTGATTTGTTATAGCCCTCTGCCACCACCTTTGCGTTTTCCAATATGCTTTCTCTTATTCTTTACTATTTGACTCCAGTGACTCCTTCCCTTAAAATGCACCGCAAGTATATGCATAGTGAGGACATACCACTTGTTGTAAACTTCTTACTTTATCATCTGTAGAACCAGGTTATTATTTATTTTCATTGCCAGTCTCAAATGTTAAATCTTTATATGTATTTATAGTAGTATTTATGTGAACACTGATTCTCACACACCTTCTGTCCAGGTTTCCAGGGACAGTCTGGATTTTAATCTTAGCTCTCTCTACAACCACCATGAAGATCTGCTTAAAGACAAGACTGAGGTAGTTCTCCATAAAGAGACAATTTTTCATGAACACAAGTAAGCACAATCCATTGATTTTCCTGATTTCAGCAAATAACACAGATGGTTACAGATTCGTATTAAACTCAGTTTAGCCTAACAAAGTGCAGCTCTTGTATCTATGAGGTTGGTGAGAATATTCTACATGTCACTACCTTGGAGACAGGCATTTGTATATTTTTCCAAGGATGGTGCTTTTGTTTCCATGTTTTCCTGAAAACTGCTTTTCACATAATTCACAGATCAGCCATATTTCCAGGCTTTCCATGAGACTACACTGGTACTGGTATCCAGGCCACACATAAAAGAAATTACAATCCCGCCCTCAGTGAAGTCATTTGCACAGGTAGATTGTAGATGAAGCAGGAAGAACACCTTGCTGGGGTCACCAATGGTCATGTTGACTAGGATAATCTTGGAACTGCAATCCCCATCTCTGTCTCTATGGCCATACGTATGTAAAATAAGATTACATAAGAGGTGATTCTACTTTGAGCAGGATCGCATAGATTATCTCATATTCAATTGCTGTTGAAACCTACAACAATATTCTGCAGTGATAATGTGCTGACACTTTTGAAGCAATGCTCCACTGCATATCGGGACCAATTCAGTGTATATTATCTCAGCAGCATATATCAATGTCAGAAAGGGAAACAGAAATACTCAGAAGTCAGCACTGGTAAACTATTATCAGTATAACAATGCATATAACAGCTACATTATAATGAAGGCTCAGCAACAAGTTCCAAATCAAATTGTTATAATGAAATGAGAGTACCTTATCATAAGACCTGAACCACAAAATCAAACCAATATACAGTACACCAGAGACTGAAAATTGTTCATCATATTGAGTACAATGTTTCATGCTCCTTCTGGCACAATTTGTACTGGAAATTTTTGAATCAATACATTGACTTGGTATAACCAGGCAAACTCTACACATCCCAGGTGGGAAATTCAGGATGGAAGTGGGCAAATTTGTAATGATGCAACTCTAGTGCATTCTGTGCTCATATACTGTGTATTCAAGTACAGAGAAGGGAAAATGCACAAGTGGCGATATCACCTTGATGAAATAATGCCATCTACCTCTTTCTGAAGTGTTCCTAGATTTCTGAACATTATGGTATCAGTTGTATCAGTTTTTCATTGATGGTATCCCTGTGCATCTTTGGTGATTCACAAACAAAATGTATACACCAATGCACAGAAGGATCTAAAGCAATTGTTCTGCATTGAAATCTCCTACCACCTCATATATACATCTCCTCTTATTTTTGAGCACTACAGGGTACTAAAGGGTTTCGAGCCTATGAAAGAATGTACTGTGCCTCCAATTCAGCGACCCACTTCTAGAGGCATCTGTGTGAGACACTGGGTCAACCCAGCAAAAGAGTCAATCCATAGCATTGAAGGAGCCATAGGTAAGGAGCAACAGATACTTGTTCTTGTATGTCGGTATCTGCTGTCAGGCTGGGGTAAGAAATGAGACCAAGCTTTTCTCAAATTCCTAGGTACAGACACATACACTAAGTTAGCAATTCCTTGTTATTTTGTGTGACAGGCTTCCTTCTGAAAGAATATAAACACACATCCTTAAGCCTATCCATGCATTAAAGGCTTAATACATGAGTGAATGAACATTTAACAATAAGGTGATTTTTTAAAAAAAATCTGTTGTAGCTATTTATATTCAGATAGCTTGTTTACCTGGCATGTTCACAGAAATGAATAGTGTGGTTCACACCTAGGAAAAAAAAGACTGGAGAACAGCAGGCAATTTTTGTAATGCATTGCTCTTGTGGAGTTTTATCTTACTGCTGTTTAAAATGGAATTTTAAAATTCAAAGTAGATCTATGGGGGTTAAATGGCTTTATTCCTCTCAAACATAACCATGGAGATGCCTATCATTTCTTCTCCCTTTCTGGCTGTGCATTATTAACACAGCAGGTTGCAATTATAATTGTTGTTTAGTCGTTAAGTTATGTCCGACTCTTCATGACCCCATGAACCAGAGGACGCCAGACTCTCCTGTCTTCCACTGCCTCCTCATGGGTCTAATTCATGTTGGTAGCTTCGATGACACTGTCCAACCATCTTGTCCTCTGTCATCCCCTTCTTCTCCTGCCTTCACACTTTCCCAACATCGGGGTCTTTTCCAGGGAGTCTTCTCATGAGATGGCCAAAGTATTGGAGCCTCAGCTTCAGGATCTGTCCTTCCAGTGAGCACTCAGGGTTGATTTCCTTCAGAATGGATAGGTTTGTTCTCCTTGCAGTCCACGGAACTCTCAAGAGTCTCCTCAAGCACCACAATTCAAAAGCATCAATCCTTCGGCGGTCGGCCTTCTTTATGGTCCAGCTCTCACTTCCATACATCACTACTGGAAAAACCATAGCTCTGACTATGCGGACCTTTGTTGGCAAGGTGATTTCTCTACATTTTAAGATGCTGTCTAGGTTTGTCATTGCTTTCCTTCCAAGAAGCAGGTGTCTTTTAATTTCGTGGCTCCTGTCACCATCTGGAATGATCATGGAGCCCAAGAAAGTCAAATCTGTCACTGCCTCCATATCTTCCCCTTTGATTTGCTAGGAGGTGATGGGGCCAGTGGCCATGATCTTAGTTTTTTTGATGTTGAGCTTCAAAGCATTTTTAAGCTCTCTCACCCTCATTAAGAGGTTAATTACTCCTCACTTTCTGCCATCAGAGTGGCATCATTTGCATATCTGAGGTTGTTGATATTTCTTCCAGCAATCTTAATTACGGCTTGGGATTCAGCCAGTCCAGCCTTTCGCCTGATGTGTTCTGCATATACGTGAAAGAAGCAGGGAAACAACATACAGCCTTGTCGTACTCCTTTCCCAATTTTGAACCAATCAGTTATTCCATATCCAGTTCTAACTGTTGTTTCCTATCCCAGATATAGATTTCTCAGGAGATAGACAAGGTGATCAGGCACTCCCATTTCTTTAAGAACTTGCCATAGTTTTTTATGGTCCACACAAAGGCTTTTGCATAGTCAGTGAAGCAGAAGTAGATGTTTCTCTGGAACTCTCTGGCTTTCTCCGTAATCCAGTGCATGTTAGCAATTTGGTCTCTAGTTCCTCTGCCCTTTCAAAATCCAGCTTGTACTTCTGGGAGTTCTCGGTCCACATACTGCTGAAGCCTACCTTGTCAGATTTTGGGCATAATCTTGCTAGCGTGTGAAATGAGTGCAATTGTACAGTAGTTTGAGCATTATTTGGCACTGCTCTTCTTTGGGATTGGAACGTAGACCAATCTTTTCCAATCCTCTGGCCACTGCTGAGTTTTCCAAACTTGCTGGCATATTGAGTGCAGCACCTTAAGAGTGTCATCTTTTAAGATTTTAAATAGTTCAACTGGAATACCATCACTGGCTTTGTTGTTAGCCATGCTTTCTAAGGCCCACTTGACTTCACTCCTCAGGATGTCTGGCTCTAGGTCACCAACCACCCTATCTGGGTTGTTCGGGACATCCAGATCTTTCTGGTATACTTCTGTGTATTCTTGCCACCTGTTCTTGATGTCTTCTTCTGTTAGGTCCCTACCATTTTTGTCCTTTATAATGTCCATCTTTGCACCAAAGATTCCTTTAATATCTCCAGTTTTCTTGAACAGATCTCTGGTTTTTCCCTTTCTATTCTTTTCCTCTATATCTTTGCAATGTTCATTTAAGAATTTCATCTTGTCTCTCCTTGCTATTCTTTGGACGTCTGCATTCCATTTTCTGCAACTTTTCCTATCTCCCTTGCATTTTGTTTCCCTTCTCTGCTATTTGTAAGGCGTCGTTGGACAGTCCCTTTGCTTTCTTGCATTTCCTTTTCTTTGGGATGGTTTCTGTTGCTGCCTCTTGTACAATGTTACGAGCCTCCATCCATAGTGTTTCAGGCACTCTGTCCACCAAATCTAGTTTCTTAAATCTGTTCTTCACTTCCATTGTGTATTCATAAGGGATTTGGTTTAGATTATACCTGACTAGCCCAGTGGTTTTTTCCTACTTTCTTTATTTTAATCTTCAGTTTTGCTATAAGAAGCTGATGATAAGAGCCACAACTATAATGGTCCAATTGAATCAGTAGAACTTAGATATTTTACTCAGTAAATGTCCACAGATTCAATGAGCTTACTCTAGTCATGATTTACTATTCTAAACAACAGAATTTCAGCCAGTCATTTTTCTCTGGGCTGCAGAAAACATATACCAGGCTTTATGCATTTCTACAAGCTCAAATTTGGCATTAATTCTGGCATGAAAGTTTTCAAGGGTTTTTTCCCCCAAAAGTAATTCTTTATCTTAAATTGGTGTGTGATACTGTTCTGGTTTTGAGATCTTTCGGTGGTGGAAGATTTCATGGCCTGAAACTGATTGGTCAGTTACAAAAGTGTGGAGGTGTAATTGCTAGTTAACAAGTAGTCCTTTGAGTCCCTGGCTGCGCACTAGTTGTGCAAGTAGCTTCATGAGGGATACAAGTAATTTATTATTAGTGACAATTCACTGCTGCAATCTACATCATTGTATTTACACCAGCTTAAACAACTGATACAATTCTGGCAAATAAAGAGCTGGCATTTATTATTTTCATTCTTTTGCAGAATCTCCGCACACTGCAGCCACCAACAGTGGATATTCCCGTAAAGAGAATGGAGGGATCTTCTATCACTAAAGAAGTTGCATTGATAGGCCACTATAATCCCCTATAAGTCATTTCAGCTTGTAACCAATTACAACAATGGAGTGAACTCTTTAGCCCCTGGTTTGCTTTTAGATCATTCATTAAAGCACTCAGTTCAATGAACCCTACTAAGAACACTACTGCACTGTACCCCTGTGTCTGCAGAAACAAGCTGTTTCTTGCCTATGGACCAAGCTACAAATGTACCCAGCCTAATAAATCCAGGGATTTAGTTAAAAATTGAATCAGTCTGGGCTGTGGTCCAAGAAGGAGTTTTATCACATATTCCTGTTTAACTGAATTCAAATTTTAACTAAGCCAATCTAATCTGGCACAAGTATATTCCTAGTAAACTAGTTAAATAAAGGTCACAGGTATAGCCTCAAAGCTTTTTGTTCTCACAATGTTCTTTAGACATTTGATGTAATATGCTGAAAAACCTGTTTTTGCTGTTTTGTATTCAAAAAGAATACAAAATATCCCTTCACGGATTGCTGCCTTGTTGTGGAGAAGAGCTTGAGTAATTCAGAGAAGTTATGAGCTATGCCATGCAGGGACACCCAAGATGGACAGGTCATAGTAAAGAGTTCTGACTAAATGTAATCCAATGGGAGCAGGAAATGGCAAACCACTCCAATATCTTTGCCAAGAAAACTCCATGGACAAAAACAAAAGGTAAAAGATATGATGCTAGAAGGTGAGCCCCTCAGGAAGAGCGGAGGACAAGGATAAGTAGCTCCAGAGCTAATGAAGTAGTTGGGCCAAAGCCGAAAGGACGCTCAGCTGCGGACGCGCCTGGAAGTGAAAGGAAAGTCCGATGCTGCAAAGAAAAATACTGCATAGGAACCTGGAATGCAAGATCTATGAACCTTGGTAAGCTGGATGAGGTCAAACAGGAGATGGCAAGAATAAACATTGACATCCCGGGCGTCAATGAACTAAAATGGACAAGAATGGGCGAATTAAATTCAGATGATTCTCATATCTATTATTGTGAACAAGAATCCTGTAGAAGAAATGGAGTAGCAGTCATAGTCAACAAAAGTGTGGGAAAAGCTGTACTGGGATACAATCTCAAAAAAAGATAGAATGATGTCAATCCAAGGCAGACCTTTCAACATCACAGTAATCCAAGTTTATGCACCAACCACCAATGCTGAAATTGACCAATTCTATGAAGACTTGCAACACCTTCTAGAACTGACACCAAAGAAAGATGTTTCTTCTCATTATAGGGGATTGGAATGCTAAACTAGGGAGTCAAGAGATAAAAGGCATGACAGGTGACTTTGGCCTTGGAGTTCAAAATGAAGCAGGGCAAAACCTAATAGAGTTTTGTCATGAGAACAAGCTGGTCACCACAGAATCTCTTTTCGAACAACACAAGAGGCAACTCTACACATGGACATCACCAGATGGGCAATACTGAAACCTGATTAATTATGTTCTCTGCAGCCAAAGATGGAGAAGCTCTATACAGTAAGCAAAAACAAGACCTGGAGCTGATTGTGGCTCTGATCATCAGCTTCAATAGCAAAACCCAAGCTTAAACTGAACTGCTCTGATCATCAGCTTCTATAGCAAAACCCAAGCTTAAACTGAACTGGATATGCAGATGATATCACTCTGATAGCAGAAAGTGATGAGGAATTATCGATTAAACAGCAACAACATTCAAAAAGAAGCTATGAGAGATTTCAAGGAAGAGAGCACTGTGTATTTTTAGAGACTATATACACAAAGTATCTTTGCTTTAAAAGAGGACAGCTAACATTTATATAGTGGCAAAACATTTTTATGTTCTTTCCCACAAGATTGGGTTTAACTTTGAACCTTACATACATAATAAAAGTTAACATATCTTCTGTTTCACTATAAATGGAAAATAAGCCCTCTCGTATTACAATCCAGCATATTTTGCAACTTTAAGATCTTGCTTGGGAGATTTTTTAGTAATCCACAACATAATTACTCAATTCCTACTTACTTAAGCACAATACTTTAATAAACTAGGTATTTCACGACACAAAGCCTTACAGAAATAAACTCTTGAGTTTCTAAAGACTGGAACCATTGTATCCAGTTCACTGGTGGGAAAAAGTCAACCAGGAGCAAGGATAAGATGGATGCCAAAACAAACACAGTTCAAAAAGACATTCTACAAGGACAAAAACAAAGTGAAGGGCCTAAACAGTTGAACAATATGGCTGTGTGCCAGCTAGTACTACTGAAGCAGCCTACTGCCAAAAATATTGACTGCTTTAAATGCATCAGAAATTTTACTCTGCCATCACAATATTGCTGGGATCTTACTGCCCTGCGTGGTCACAATTTGACACTATTACTACATCAGTCAGCACTGTTTCCTCTTTCAGGGACTGGAGTCTTCCACAGCCTGATGAGTATAAAATGCTGCCACTTCTGCTATCTCTTGCTTTGGGCTCCACCTTTAAATTAAATAAATAAATAAATAAACATTGACTGGTTTAAATGCATCAAAAATTTTACTCTGCCATCACTGTATTTCTGGGATCTTACTGCCCTGCGTGGTCACAATTTGACACTATTACTACATCAGTCAGCACTGTTTCCTCTTTCAGGGACTGGAGTCTTCCACAGCCTGATGAGTATAAAATGCTGCCACTTCTATCTCTTGCTTTGGGCTCCACCTCAGTCACCACCAAACTAGACCTGGATTTTTCAGTTGTTTTTCATGTGTAGTGATTAGTGCTCAATAAGGGAACAGCCCAAACTGAGTTCTTATTGAAGAAGGAAGTCCCTGATGTAGTCACTTATCTCTCTGGCTAGCAATGTTAATGACTGTGACTTCGCTTTGTAAACACAAAAAACTGGTAGCAAGCTCATGACTGGACAAAATGCCTGAACTTATCTCTTGGGTTCCAAAAGCACTAGAGCATTCTTATTTGAAAACCAGGCTTTCAAATCTTGGCTACCTAGTAAGACTCTTGAAATGAATTGGGGGACGCAACCCCTTATCCCATTTGTTATTCTGCTCAAGGTAAGGGGCAGGAGGAATTACAAATATTGCCCTCTTCCTCCATCACAAGTGGATCCACAGTATGAAAACAATACATCCCAGAAGGAGCTAAAACTAATTCAGCTTTTTAAAATTAATTTCCTGGCAATCATTTCTTGTTATGTGCCTTCAAGTTGGAACCGACTTACAGCAACTCTGGCTTTCAAGCTATGTTTAAAGTGAAATGTTTAAAGAATGGTTTTATAAGTTCTACACGCCCAGTGAATTTCTATGGCCCAACAGGGATTTAAACCTAGGCCTCTGTTACTCTATATATGCTAGAGTAAAGGTAAAGGTTCCCCTTGACAATTTTTGTCCAGTCGTGTCCGACTCTAGGGGGCGGCGCTCATCCCGCTCTTCAAGCCATGGAGCCAGCTTGTCCGAAGACAATCTTTCCGTGGTCACATGGCCAGTGTGATTTAGACACGGAACGCTGTTTACCTTCCCACTGAGATGGTACCTATTTATCTACTCACATTTGCATGCTTTCGAACCGCTAGGTTGGCGGGAGCTGGGACAAGCAATGGGCGCTCACTCCGTCGCGTGGATTCGATCTTACGACTGCTTGGTCTTCTGACCCTGCAGCACAGGCTTCTGCGGTTTAGCCCACAGCGCCACCACGTCCCCTATATATGCTAGAACACACTGGTAATCCCTTATCACAGTTAAGGTGAGGGCGGGGGGAAATCATATTTAGAATGATGAAAAAAAAGTAACATACCATACTGTGCTTTTTTAAAAAAGTGATTACATCCTATAAAGCACTGGCATTTAAATAAATCACAATTACAGTATATAGACCTATGCTACACCTGCAAGATGCCTGATTTTAAATTTACCATTTTGAACCCATTCAGTATATACACAGTGAAATGCACTGCCATCCTACACACACAAACATTTGGTTAGGAGGCCTCTCCATTTATTCCAATGAAAAAACAGATCATGAAAATGCATTGTATGGTAACAAAACTATCACTTAGATTAAACAGTATTTTCTCTAAAAGCAAAAACACTACCAAGGCTTTAACTTTCATATATAGCATTTTTTTCCTGTACACCATTTGGATCCAGTGTTTATTAAAGGTTTACACATTGTCAATAAAGCTGCTCTGAGTTTGAGTGAAAACCTATTAATGAAAACAAAGTGGCACTTTGAAGAGATGACAGCTCTGAATGCCCTTCCTCACTAACCCAAGGATAGGTTAGCATAGCTAGTCTAGTGTAAATACTGTACTGTACTGTACTGTATCTTTGTCAGGGAAGTAAGCCCAAGAATTGAACATGTATTAACTATCAGGGTATTTAGGGATCCAAGTAAATGCATCCAAAGAAAATGGGCCCTGTGCGAGCATATGTTCCAGCTTGATCTCTACAGTGGCTGGCCAAAAAAAATCTACCTGTCTTTGCCCAAATATGGACACATAACGTGGAAAACATGGGCTGTGCCTCAGTTTCATCTTCAAAGGGACATATTGCATAATTTAGTAAGAAAAGGAAAGTTGTGGCCAGTTCTGTGATGTTAATATTCCAAAAAGTAGCCCTAAAACATCAGTACGGCTGTAAACCTATTAAACAGTAGGTGGTTCCACAAAAATAATGTTCGTTTCTAGTAGCAAAAAGGATATTTGCAGTGACTTAAAGAAATACCAATTTAAAGCTTTTACAGCCTGTATTTCATGTATTAAGAGAGACTGTAGTCTACCAGAACATATGTCATATTTGAGTCTTCCTGATACAAGACTTTTTTCGTATTATAAGGTCGAGTTTTATTAACATTCATCATGAACGTATTTTTAAGGTACGTCGGCACTCCAAGGATCGCCTCTCAAGAAAATCAGAAGCCATCTTCCTGGCCGGGCTACTCCAACGACCCCAAGGCAACACAAGGCAGAGGAGATGGAACCGGGGCCAGAGGACTCCCCGGGCGCGGGAACAGCTGCCTGCGAGTCGGATCAGAATCGCCTCGATACGCACTGGCCGGGGGAAGGGGGTCACCCAGCCCCCAGCCTCATCTATCTGATCAATTCATCATCTCCGACTATGCGTTACCGCCTGCTCGGTAAACCTGCTTCCCTGCACAGCGCCCCCCGAGGGCTTCGCAGGAAGAGGGTGTTCTCATTTCAGGCCGGGCAGGCGGCGGACATCCCGGCCCGATCAAATAAGATCAACGTGTAAGAGAATGGAAAGACAGCGGCGCAGAGGGGCTCATTCACACAACCCTAACATACAGATAACATACACACACCTACTACGCACATACACCCATCCAGGAACCGCCCACGCACTCGGCCACTACCACGCGCACCGCCACTCACTCGCCCCAACT